CTTCCGGTCACTTTCATACCCCTTTCTTTTAATGATCTGTTCATTAATGTAACCATCATTTGCAACTCAGCCGCCGATGACGCAAGAATAACTTGATCATCGGCGTACAAAAGGCATTTGATGGTTAACTCACCCATTCTTAATCCGCATTCTTCAACTTTCAAATTTTGCAAGCAACTGTCCATAAATAGGTTGAACAACCACGGGGAAGCCACACAGCCCTGTCTAATACCTTTATGGATGCCAAACCAGTCCGAATAGACCCCGTTGATCCTAACACAAGCACTAGAGTCCCTATAAAGAGATTCCAATGCCTGTATCAAGTCAGCGCTCAACCCAAATGAGTTCAGTGTTTGCCATAGCACATTCCTATCCACTCTGTCATAGGCCTTTTCCAAGTCCATGAACGCACAAAAGACCTTTTGGTTTTTGGCCAAAAACTTCTCCGCGATCATGCGCATGGAAAAGACTTCCGCATCCCATTCCCTTTCTAAATCCCGCTTGCACATCCCAAATTATTCCATCGGTTTCTTTCATGACCCTTTCAATTAGTACCTTAGCATACAGTTTTCCCACGATGCTAAGAAGGCTGATACTGCGGTAGTTTTTACAGTACTGCTGCGACCTTTTTCCCTTATATACTGGGACTATCACGGCTTTGCACCAGTCTCCCGGTACCCGCTTCAGTTCCCAGCATAAATTAAACAAGGTGTGCAGCAGGCCTGCCACCACTTCCTCTCCAGCCCTTAGCATTTCGAGTGAAACTCTATCATATCCGGCAGCCTTACCTGCTTTCATGCTTTTCATTGCTTTCATTATTTAATCTATACTTATCTCGCTACCTCTTTCCTCTTCTTTCGGAGTTTCTACTTCATTTAGTACATACGTTGTCTCCTTACTCATAAACATGCTTTCAAAATATTCCTTCCATCTCTTTAAACTCAAAACTCCATCATTCAGAATATAGCCGTTCTCATCTCTTATAGCATTCATTATAGGCTGCTTTGAAAGTCCCCGGCAGTTCTTACGAGTTTTCAGAACATTTTAATATTTGCCTGGAAGTTATCCGATATTCATCATTCTTATCCGTTCTTTCTTGCTTTTTCCTTTCAACTACTTCTTTTACTCTCTTATTTAGATGTCTAAAGATTGCCTTCTTTCTTTCAAAATCATCATTTGTACCACTAGAATTACCAGCCTTAGTTGCTAGTAAATCTAGTCATGCTCTCTTCTTTGCTTTACCTTCCGTACGTATCTCATCATCCCACCATAACGTATTATTTTTCCTTTCATTCTTTCTTTTACTAACACCACATACTTCGGTAGCTGCATCTACTAAACCTTTCTTAACATTTTGCCATACACTCTCCAAGTCTAACTCATTCATACATAATTCATCCAAACCACTTATATTTGCTTTCAGTCTACATTTGTTCTTATTTTTCTCACCTTCATCTTGTAATCTGTCTGTTCTAATACGCTGTAACACAGTGGTAGACACAGATGTCCGATGACGCCAACGCCTGAATAGACCATTAATTCGGCATAAGACCAAAAAATGATCCGTTCCTATGTTTGACCCCCGGTAAACCCTTGTATACCACTGCGCCCCTCAATCTTTCATCCACAATTATGAAATCTATCATGCTTCTATCATCACCTCTTTCCCAAGTATACATGTGAATCCTCTTGTGGCGAAAGAAAGTGTCCGTCACAAAAAGATTCTTTCCCATACATACAGTGAGAAGGCTTTCACCATTCTAATTTATACTTTCATCACCAAACGTTCCCAATATCCTTTCATAACCAAGCCTCCTCACCCCAACTCTTCCATTAAAATCTCCTAGCATAACAACATTTTCATTTCCTTTACATTTCATTAATACCATCCTTACCATTTCCCAAAACTGCTCTCGGATATGAGTGGGCTTAGACATATCTGGGGCGTAGACCCCTAGCACAAACGTTATAATATATATATATATATATATATATATATATATATATATATATATATATATATATATATATATATATAACGTACACTAATCAGAACATGAATATCAAAACAACTCATTTTTTTTTTCAGATTTTTTGATTCCGTTTATATTTTCGCAAAATCTATAGGCCATTTACTATTATAATTTGGTGTCTTTTTTGTGTAATACCATTAAGAGACGTTAATATTTCTAGTGGGCCCAAACATGATTGTCTCCTTTGTTCCTTTGATAGTTTAAATAAATTAATGTATCGTTGTGTAAAGTTGATAGCTCTGTTATAGTGAGTCTTTTCAATTATTTTGTGTACATGATATAATAAATGTCATACTTCTAGCAATCTTTTCCAGTTTATATAAAAGGGATATACTATTAATGACGTAACTGTGCAGACTTCTATACAAATAATTTAAAAATATCATTTTGAGGTACATTTTACCCAATATATTTAGAGGTATAAACTGTTAGGAAAGATAATTTAATTTTATTCATTTTTAAAACTTCAACTCAATTCATTGATAAAACTGGGTACTACCATCATACGACGTAATCGAAAAAACGTTCCCATGAACGTACTTAGAAATTTAAAACAAAGTTGTCACAATTTTCAGTGTTATATTAATTGAAAATTCAAATTATATGTTTTTAACTTTTATAAGTCGTTATTTTATAAAAAAAATGTTAGAGTATTGACTAACCTACTTGGTGGATTATTAAAGTAATAGTTAATTAAATATAAAAATAAAAATAAATGAAGTACAAAGTATACAGTTATAAGGATAAATGTGAATGAACATACAAATGAAGAGTAGGTACTACTTAATGTGAATGTCTGGATAAGCTACTTATTAAGTGACTAAATAACTCAGTATCTAAGTCTGTTACAAAAGTGCGTCGATCAAAATAATATACGTTCGCGAATGTTTACCTGATTGTGTCAAATATTATGCACCGTATCATACATAATATGTTTAACCATACTTTTTTGACAACGGACTTACTATGTGCTGTTCTAGGCGGTTTGGCCAGCCACCCTACCCAAGCCAAGACAGGTTTAACATATGAGTATGTTATTAGAATGTAACATTGTTTTATATTTGGTAACTTTTTATTATATAAAAAAATTTTTGGTGGGAGGTGTGATGTAGTGTAGCCCCCACGACAATTTATATAAGTGTTTAATTTAAAATAGGGAAGTATAATAAAAGTTTTCGTAACAACATGTTTCCTTCATTGACACCTTTCCTACATTACAAACGCTTTAGGGACATCTATTAAAACCAACACAGTTGATTATAGATTCCGCAATTCTCCATTACAGTACGCAAATCTTCCGTAAGTTGTTTCAGATGAGTATGGTATGTCAGGCCACATTTAGATTGCCATAATATGCTTAGAAAAATATTATTGAGAATGTACCTAGCTAGAATTTTTCTTTCACTTTCTGACGACTGACGATATTGCGAGTCCAGTTTGGATACGTTGGCATTGTCGTACGATGGGTAAAAGTAGTTGTTCATGCACGGCAATGCGATAAATCGGTTTAGACGTCCAATAATGTTGTGTATTTGTCAAATAAATATTTTTCTTTATTTTATATAATTTTATATTATATTCGATAGCAATTTCAACTAATTAACCTTTACTGTTACTGAGTGATAGCCATATGCGAGAGATGCGCACAAGCAACGTATGATCAGTTTTATAATCTTATTGTTATCATTGTAAAAAATAATAGTTAATGAATAGCTATTAGAACCTTTTATAAACATACAGATATTTTGTACATAATGTTTTTCGATATTAGTGCGTACGAAGAATATTTTTTTTAATATATTCTTTATTTTACACTTTATTAATACAGAATGAGAACGATATTAAAGATTATTACAACGAATCGTTAAATAACGCAATGTTTATTTTAAAGAAATCACTTTGAGGGTATCAAAGCGATTTCTTTAAGATAAATTTTTCGTAGAGAACTAATAGTTAAAGAAAATGATAGTTAATCACAAGGAAAATATTTTTTGGTTACTCATTTTTTTAAAGACAAATAAGAAGCACAAATAATACCTCATAGTAGCGTAGTAGGGAACTGAGTTTAAAATTGAAAATTTGTTGTTGTTTGTTTTATTTGTTTTTAATGATCAGTAAACGAGTCTGTTATTGACATAAAAGTAAAATAAATTTTGATTAAAACTTGTAATAAGAAATTAAGGAGCTGGCAGTGAGAGACGTGATAGCTCCCTGCGCTAAGTTTAAAAAAATAAACGCTCGCCGTAAAATTTCTAAGTGTGCGAGCAAACCAACAAACAAATATATCTTGCTAATAAGTACTCTAAGGAGCAAACCGATTTTGATTCCCCCAAAAGCATCAATGCAATAGTTAATAGCCAACCTTAGTGATAATTTACGATGTGCTTCGCGGTGAAGGGAAAATGTATATTATTTGTTTCGAATTTATTTGGATTCTGATCAACAATAATCTCCTGCGCTAAGAGAATAAAACTAAATTTACTCTGTGCTTAGAACTCAATTTACCTCTAGCTCAAGAGTATAATATAAAACAATTTGTCGGAAACTGTACCATAACACACCGAGTCAAGGCGATCCGAGAGCTCTCGAGGGCCTCGTATATTCTCTACCCTATAGACCACTCTCCTACATATATATCGAGGGAAACTAAAGTAAAACACGATAGTTCTCTGTATCGTGGTTTATGTAGGAAATAATTTACTTAAAACGTAAATGTAAATTAACTACTAATAAAATAAGTATTTACTAAAATTACATGTATGCTATTTTTAACAGCTAGTGCCCGCGGCTTCGCCCGCGTGGATCTCGGAAAACATCATTTTCGAACTTGTAACACACTACTGCATTAATAACTATATTAATTAATTGTTTGTTTACGGTTTGTTTATAAAAGTACCAAAATGGATCTGAGAAAAAATATAATAGGGTATTCCCTCATCGAATGAAGTGAAGCTACAATCACTAGTGATGTACCTCTACAAGCTACAACCTGCAATTGTGGATGTAGCCGTAGATCCCTCAGTTGTGGTTAATTCAGATGATGATAGAATAAACGCCCAAGAGCTAGAGCAAATGAAGCAAATTGGAAGAGGTGATTATGGAAACGCGCAGTTTTGGGAATCGAGCGCGACTTACCCGCATACCTATAAGCAAGCGCAATCAGGCTTTCGTAGGCTCTAAACCTAATGACCTCTTTGGATTTTAGCCAGCATCTTTGCAAGATGGACTCAATTCTTTTTGGCACCGCACTGGCAGTATGTGGTATAATTGCCGCCAAGCTCCCGTGTTACTAAACAAAGTAACGCCATCCCAGTCTGGAGAATAAGAATTGAAGATCGTATGGCAAAGCCTAGGGCCCTCATCAGTAGACTGATATGCTTCAGGTCACGCAATAACATACCAAGGGTTGTACGCACCGTCAGGATCTGACGTTTGCTGGTACGAATGGCAGTTTGTTCCATCCGGATATAACCAAAAACTTATGGAGTGCATAGACAATCTGAAACAGAGAATTGCTGCTTGGGAAAAATGGATTTGGCGATATACTGAGAGGTCGACACGATTCAACCAGAATCGTCTATTCCAGAGTGATCAAAAGGGACTCCATAAACTATTGCACCGAATTGGAGAGACACTGTCCCAGTCTGGTGTGGGCTTTGGTTAGTGCCCGTAAACCACAGCGAAGGCCCTTGGACAGAAGTTGTGGCGAGTCAGTGTGCGAACGTTATGCCTATGGATCCCGTCACCACATCGCCGAGCGACGTAGCTGAGGCGGTCCATAGGACCCCGAACTGGGAAAGTTCGGAACTTGACGGGTTGCAGCACTACTGGTGTGTCACGCTGTGCTTGCCTGATAGTTTCAAAAGTCTCTCAACCAGAAGTCACTCCCGAGCCTTTTTACTACTGTGATCACTCACTAGGTTTCTAAAGACCAGAATACTGCCAAACTCGAGAGATAAACATACTCGAGAAAATACCGCCTCATTACTTGTTTATCAATCATACAAGACATTAACATCTATTTTGATAACGAGAATCACTGGACCCAAATAAGATAATGTTGCGCGCTCAAAATGGATGTCAAGGCGGTAGCCGTGGAACTCAGGAACTACTCCTCATTGACGCAGTTATTGCCAAGGTTCCAGATGGGAATTTAAGCTTCGGAAAGGAGAAAGAAAGGACCTTTTTTTACTTGGTTTGTCTCAAATTATTTGCTTCCAGTCGCTCCCGTATTATGGGATTGCTAAACATCACTTTTGATTTTAGCAATCCTATTAGAATGGAGCCGAGGTATGGATAACTGTGCAGTCCTCCATGTTGAAAGATGTTAACTCCGAGGGTTTACACTTATCTATGCCCATCAATATAAAGACACTTTCCGAGGCAAAAACATACCGATACATTGGTATGTCCCAAAATATATGTTATCCGATGATATCCCGGACGTCAGTCTGAGCGAGATTAGAATGGCTCTCCAGCACCTTAAAAACGGCAAGTCCCCGGGCGAGGATGAAATTACAGCGGAACTTCTGAAAGCGGGTGGAAAACCGGTACTTGAAGTCCTTCAGAGACTCTTTAATTCCGTCCTCCATGGTGGCACTACTTCGGAGGCGTGGAGCAGAAGTGTAGTTGTCTTTTTCTTTAAGAAAGGTGGCAACGCCCTCTTAAAGAACTACAGGCCGATATCCCTTCTGAGCCACGTCTACGTGCTGTTTTCGAGAGTCATTACGAATCGTCTCGCACGCAGACTCGATGACTTCCAGCCTCCCGAACAAGCCGGTTTCCGAAAAGGCTTTAGTACCATAGACCATGTACATACACTTCGGCAAATTGTACAGAAGTCCGAAGAGTACAATCTGCCCCTTTATCTGGCGTATGTGGACTATGGGAAACCTTTGATTCATGTTTTTGTGCCAAGTTGACTGTCGGTATATCGAAGTGCTGAAGTGTTTGTACAGTAGGGCTACGATGGCTATCCGAGTACAAAACCAGAGACGAAACCTATCCAACTGAGAGAGTGTGGGTGACGTTATTTCGCCGAAATTCTTCACCGCTGCATTGGAAGACGTTTTCAAGCTACTGGACTGGAAAGGGTACGGTATTAACATCAATGGCGAGTACATCACTTACGACGATATAGTCCTTACGGCACAACTTAAGCACTATGCTCAATGACCTCAATAGTGCTTCCCAACGGATAGGTCTTAAGATGAACATGGACAAAACAAAGATCATGTTTAATGTCCATGTCACACCTATGCCGGTAGTTGTTGGGAGCACTAAGCTCGAAGTTGTTGACGAGTACGTTTACCTGGGACAAATAGTCCGACTAGGTAAGTTCAACTTCGACCGAGCGCAGTCTGGCGCAGCGTTCGGGAAATCTTCTCGTCGGGTATACCTCAAAACCTGAAAACTAAGTTGTACAACCAGTGCGTGTTGCCTGTGATGACCTACGGAACCGAGACGTGGTCCATCACTGTTGGCCGTATGTCTCAACTCAAAGTCGTTCAGCGAGCTATGGAGAGGGCTATGCTCGGAGTTTCTCTGCGTGATAAACTTAGAAATGAGGATATCCACAGTAGAACCAGAGTGACCGACATAGCCCAACGGATTAGTAAGCTAAAGTCGCAATGGGCCGGCCATATAGCTCGACGAACCTACAACCGTTGGGGAAAAAAAGGTTCTCGAGTGGCAGCCTCGTACCGGTAGGCGAAGTATGGGGCGACCCCCCACTAGATGGAGTGACGACCTGGTAAGACATGCAGGAAGTCGATGGATGCAGGTGGCTCAAGACCGTGCTTTGTGGCATACCTTGGGGAGGCCTATGTTCAGCAGTGGACTCGTGAAGGGCTGTAATGATGATGATGATGAAAATATATGTGTCGATGAGGCGGACATAAAACAATTAGTTTGCGGCCTGTTTGCACGTTTGACAAAAGTGCTTAACAGCCTCTTGTCAACCGTGATTAAGGCAGGCGCATATATATGTAACTGTTGAATCATGCCCGTTCTCCCTTATTTTATACATTTGGTATATTTAAGCGAACTCAGACAGAACTTTTTGACAGGCCTGTTGGTCTAGTGGTTAGTGACCCTGACTGCTATGCCGGAGGTCGTGGGTTCGATTCCCACCCAGGACAAATGTTTGTATGATGAGCACGATCATTTGTTCTGTGTCTGGGTGTAATTTATCTATAATATTTATGTATTTAGAAATATATAAGTATGTTTATCAGTTGTCTAGTACCCATAACACAAGCTCTGCTTAGCTTGGGACTAGATGGCGTTGTGTGATAGTTGTGGAATATTATTATTATTAACTTAACTATCTGGATAGAAGTCCGCACTGTTACGACATCTCATAGGATGCATCACCCGAGATCGTCAGTAATGAGGCTGTACTTGCCGCGGAAACATAATGGGCGCGGCTTTTTAAGCACTTTCACTTCTTATTGATTCTTATTTTTCAGTGTTTCAAGAATATTTTTCTGAATTTAGGGGGCGACATGTAGATTGATTGTTTGCGTCGAATTTTCTTTTCCTAACTTTAATATTCTTTTTGGATATTCTTCTGTTACACGGATGTTTGACTTTTTAAGCTGTTTTTTATTTTGCAATATTTTCATTTTTTCACCAGCAGCGTAACGGCTACACGAACAGACAGGTCTGATTAATTCCTTTCTTAACGAGTCTTCTAACCGATTCAAGTTCAAAGTCATATCAGTTTTAATTTGATTTTTAATATTATGTGCATAACTTTTTACCCAAAAAATGTTAATGTTTTAATTTATATTTGAATTAATTTTTGAAATCATTCTTTCTCCTAGTTGGAAAACTGCGATTCTATAGAATTTAATTATTTACTAAAATTTGTTTTGATTTCTCCTATAAGTCTTCGCAGATCATTGAACTTTTATTCTTGAGTTTGCTACGAGGGCAATTCGCGAACTCAATAGAGTTCAATAGATTTTGACAATAGTCAAACGAAACATTACGTACGGTTGTGAACTTGAGAAGTTATATATATATATATATATATATATATATATATATATATATATATATATATATATATATATATATATATATACACAGAAAAAGAAAATAAAGAAAAAAGAAAATAGACAGGTGTCAACTATGTTTATTTTGTCTAAATATTTTAATAAAAATAACTATACATTTTAATTGTAAAATTTTAGTGCACAAAGGAAATTTTTATTGTTGTCAAAGATTTAAATAGTATAACAGTGGTTTATATAATATCTGAAATTAACTACGAGACATAAAAAATTTTCAAGATTGTGACATAATATGCCAAATGTAACAAAACAATTCGCAACAAAGGATTTCTGAAATATTATATATTTGATTGACTGATGAAGAGCTATCGTATCGCAAAGCCATATAAGAGTTTGTCGGGATATTTTTCATATTTTCGCATGGGGATTTTGTTTTTGTTCCCACTACAGTGCCTGTTCAGTATTTGAAAAGTTCTAGTCCGCGTATGATAACTTCAAGACACGGTTGCTAAGGCCGCCATCGTTTGTTCTAGCGACGCCATACGTCCGTGGATCTCTTACACTGCAGCTTCCAATTGCAGAACCGTCCTGTGACGCACCTACGTAACGACGCATGCGTCTTGTTACCAAAACAAGCAGCCTTCATATTTTGACTTTGACTTTTTTATATCTTCAGTGTAATTGTTAAGTTACTTTATTGTGTTTTTTTAATTTGTTTTAAGTTATTCTTTTTTGTTATTGTATTTAACTGTTGTGAATGCAGTCCGTAACCCAATTTAGTGATGACACGGCAAACGCGACACTTATATGTACACAGTGCAACAAGTCATTCAAATCTTTAAAAGGCCTCAACATACACACTACAAAAACACACAGGAAATGTATTAGCCAAAACAGTTCACCTTTAGACATACACCCTTTTATTCCAAATATGCCTACTTTTGCAGCCAACTTTCCAACTCCTTTCCACACATATCTTAGCTATTTGAAAAATAGTATACCGACAGTTAAAAGAATCCCTCGAGGAGCTCGAATAACCGTTGCTACACATTTGTCACAATTAATCCAGAAATGTTACATAAGCAATTGTACTCAAGACTGGCAGAACCTATTTTTATTTTCATACAGCACACTACATATAACAAAAACTGATAAACCAAA